ATACAAATATAAAATAAAATAAATTTTTTACGTAATCAAAATATTTTATTATAAATTAAACTTTATTAAAAATAATATAATAATATAATAATATATAAAGCAGTTTACATTCTCTTTTTATCTAAAATATATTTGTTATTACCTATGCTAAAAAATCACTATCAATTCTAATAATTTAAATAAATTGAAAATCACTAAATTTATTAAAATATATTTGTTTATAATCATCTTTATTGTATTTATTTACTTTTTTAAAGTAAATATATGACTTATTCTATTATATTCATTAGTAATAAAATATTCTATTTCACCAAATATTTCTTTATTACAAGTCTTTGAGATACATTTAATCAATGAGCATCAAGATCTATTATAATATTAATCTAATATAAAAATAAATTAGTATCATTTTATAAAATCATAAAATTTAATTTAAACAATTTACTTATCATAACAGAATAATTATTTCTATTTTTTATTTTATTTTTAGATATCCATTTAAAACTAATGATATGTCTATCTTTATTACGTAATTTATCATATTTTATTACATTTGAAGATATTGTTACATGTAGTTCAAAACGTTTATTAGTTATAAATAATAGAAAAGGTAAGCAGAAGGTTTATTTATAAAAATGAATTAAATGTATTTATTAATAACAAATGAAATCTAACATAAATCTACGTAAATAAGGTATTGCCTTAATCTTCAGCACTCTATACGATCAGATACTTAATTTATTAATATTCTTTCGTTATCATTACAAATAAAAGGAAAGGGAATATATACTAATGTTATCTATCATTTTTATTTAGGGAATATATGGAACACTTGATATTTTCTACTCAAGCGAAATCCCACTTCTTTTATATTTAAAACCCAGCAAGGATTACTTGTTCAGAGGCCTTTTTGTCCTCAAAACATATTAGCCAGATGGCATATTGGCCAGGAGACAAATTGGCCTGCAGACAATTTGTCCAGAGGACAATTAGGCCATCGATCTAAAAAGTCTAACTAAATACTAATAAAACTTAAATTTAAACTAAACAGAAATGGGACACAATACCCTGGAACTAATAGAATATGATAGAACAATTATATTTCTTTATAACATATGTCTCCTTTAATTGTCAAGCTCCTGCGAGATCAACAATCATTCAAATTCTTTTTGTTTTGCTGTCTAGCCTCTGGTATTAGTTATTTATAGAAATCATTCTCCTTCATGTTGGTTAGATATGTTGAACAAATGTATTTTACAAAATACAGCTCTTGCTATAAACAGGTCATAGATTTATCATATGATCTTCTTAATCTCTTTATATCTTCAGATAGAAAAATTTTCAAGAAGAAACTTCTTATCTTAAGAGATCCATCCTCGCGAGGCTAATAGTTCTCCCAAATAATAAAATGTCTCAAGTCGATGTATATTGGATTGGATCTGAAATTTTTTTTCTTTTAATAGTTCAACCAGTATTTGCAATTGTATGTCTTCTGGTTGTGATATATAATCAGGAAAAACCGTTATTTCTGAAGGAATTTGATCAAGATCTTCCTTGCATTTCTCAAGGATCGATTCATTTGACGATTTCCCTAACAATGACTGAGTCATCATTGAATTTTGTTTATTGATCTTTGAGATAATTACTGTGGAAGTGGAAATCTCAAGTTTTTCGTCATTATCAGCTTCTTGCAACCATGTTTTCAAAAATTGACAGAAATTTGCTCTTAATTCTTTGAAGTAGTGTTCCATTATTTGAAGAGAGGAATTCTTAAATCTTTAGATTCGGGTGATGATATTTATAATTTTCAAGACAATAGATTTCGTGACTATCGGGATTTTCCTTTTTTGGTTTACAAGACATTTCACGATAATCTAGAATAATACAACTTTAATCTATCGCCATTCACAGGGGCTTTTAATATTTTATTATCAAGGGTTCGTAGTTTATATGTCTCACTAGAGAGAATCTCATATATATAGTATGGTCCCCTCCATCGTTCCTCTAGCTTCTTTCGCTTATGTATGCTGCTTATGTATAACAAAACCATATCTCCAATCTTGAATGCTTGTGCCTCCTTTAATTTATTATCATGACGCTGTTTTTGTTTTTGTTGAGACTTTTCTATATTATTTTGAACTTTAGTCCTATCATTATGTATTCTTTCTAAAGACTTTCATTGTGACTCGCAGTATTTGGTTGTGCTCGTTGAGTTTGAACTTCGAATTCTATTGGCAAGGTAACCTCTCGTCCGTATAACAGATAGAAAGGTTCATGTCAGATAATATCATGTCTCTTTGTTCTATAGGTAAAAAGAGCTGATGGTACATACAGATCCCAATCATCTTGTTTTCTAATGCAAATTTTGCTAACATTTCACATAACGTTCGGTTGAATCATTCAATCAATCTGTTAGTCTGTAGGTGATACGCCATTGATAATTTATGTTTGACTCCTAATTCAGTGCACAAGGAGTTTAATATTTCATTGACAAAGTGGGTTCCTCTATCGGTCAAAAGTATCTTAGGACATCTATGTCGGCATATGATGTCTTCGTAGAAAAAGGACACAACGGATAATGCCTTTGCATCAGAAATGGCTCTAGCTTCAGGCCATTTTGTCAAATATTCTGTGCAACTACGATATATGCGTTCTCTCTTTCAGTCATTGGCAAAGGTCTAACGATATCCATTCCTACTCGATCGAAGGGTTGACCAACTTTTATGTAATAGTTCTGTCTTTCTATTTACTCTACTTCTTTGACATTCATCACACGTCTGAATATGTCGTCTTATGTCATTATACATTTGAGGCCAGTAATAATGAATCTTTACTTGCCTAAATGTTTCTTCTAATGCAAAGTGCCCTGCTAGTGAATCAGAATATAGATTATAAAGCACTGTATTAACTTCATTTTCTTTTACAACTTTGTATAGCCTATGTAGGTCGATTCTATTTTTCTTATATAATTGTCCATTAATTAAAATAAAATATCGAGATTTTCATTTTATCGTTTGTTGTTGTTTTTTGGTGAGATATGTTGGCATGTCGAAATCCGTTAAATATTATATAAGTGAGAAGTATGTTTCTGAATCTATTATATCAATTTAGAATTATCTGTTAGTGTTATCCAAAAATAAATTAAATCCAATTATGTTATTTCAATTTTATTATATGCTAGTATTCTATTCGACTTAATATATCTACGTTTGAGTGTTATTTGCTGGGTCAATTTATAATATCAAAGTCAAAGGAATTTAAATCATAATCCATTGTCTAAGTTTGCCAACAGGATTTGCATTATTTTCAAATACAACAAAGCGGAGTGATCAGTAATAATAACGAATTTTTGTCTATATAGATAGTGGTTAAATATCGAATCGTCCAAACGACAGTGAGACATTCAAGTTCCGTAATTGTATAGTTTCTTTCATACTTGTTAAGAGTTTGACTAGCATATGCTATTACATACTCTTTTAAATCTTTTCCTTATTATGCTAGAATTGCTCCCAAGGCGAATGTAGAAGTATCCGTATATAACATAAAAGCTTTATCGAAATCCGGATATGCCAAAATAGGTGGAGTCGTTAAATACTTCTTGAGTTTTTCAAAAGCATCATGTTGAGCCTTAGTCCATTGATAGGATACATTTTTCTTTAACAGCCGGTGCAATGGTTCAACAATGGCGGAAAATCCTTTAACGAATTTCTGATAATATGAAGCTAAAGCTATGAATCCTCTAAGTTGGATTAAATCTTTAGGTATCGGGAATTCACTTATTACTCTTAGCTTTTCAGGATCTGTTTGAATACCTTATCCACTTATCATATGATTGAGAAATGGTAATTTTACCTTAAAGAAGAAACACTTTTCGGGACTTAATTTTAAACCGGTGTTTCTTAACCTCAAGAAGACTTGCTTAAGATGTAAAAGGTGTTTATCAAAAGTCTTGGAGCCAATGTTGATGTCATCCACATACACGACTACATATTGCCACAAAATATCCCTTAAGACAGTATCCATTAATCATTGAAAAGTGGCGTGAGCATTGTATAACTAAATGGCATCACAGTAAACTTGTATGTTCCAAATCTCGTTATGAAAGTTGTTTTTTCTCAGTCTTTTTCATCTAACTTGACTTGCCAGAAACCACTAGCAAGATCCAAAGAGGAAAACCAAGTTGAGCCAGACAACGTTTCCAATATGTCATCTATCCTTGGTAGTGGATAACAATTCTTTTTCGTTACTGTATTTAATTTGTGATAATTGACACATAATTGCTTCTTTCTGTTTTTCTTCTCTATAACGACAACGGGAGATATCCACTGGCTACTGAAGATCTAATCAAACCATTTTCCTGTAATCGTTTTATTTCTTTCTAAATAAATCTCTGGTTTTGGAAAGAGGTTCAGTAGAATCTCTGCTTGATTGGCGCAGCAGTTTCTGTGTCGATTGAATGCTTAACCATAGATGTTCGTTCAAATTCGTTAGAATCCCAAATAAAAAGATCTCTATTTTTCTTCATAAATTCCTTAAATTTTTCCTTTTGTTCCTTAGTTAGGTCTCCAACATGGAAATATCCATTATCAATTTCTTTGTACTGATAATACGACTCCTTAGTAACATCATTTTTCAAAATCACTTGTTTAATGAGTTCATTTTCGATCTGTTCGGCCTTTTGTGTTGTTATATACTGGTTGAAGCAATACAGCTGTTCTTACAAATCAGCCTCTTCTTCATATTCCTCATCACTACTTTCAATTATGTGTTCTACTTCTTTAGTATCATCATCAGTAGCATTTATTTCATTTTTGATGATCTGATCATATGGTATTTAATGACATTCTACCGTGACAACAATATCTTCATTGTTCCAATATAATGTCAAAAGGCTATTACGATAGTTTATGATGGCTTGTGTTTCTTTTAGCCAATTGTTTTCAACAATAGCGGCATAAAAGTCCGCTTCCGTGACAACTGCATCAAAAGGAATCATGTGTTCAGAGATCTTCAAAGAAATACCTGTAACATCCTAAGGGTCTTCTTTTTTCACCATTTACGTTAACCATTATTGTTTTAGCTGCTCCTGTTATCTCCATATCTAGATCTTTAAGCAACTTTAGGGAAATTATGCATCCAGCAGAACCAGAGTCAATTATTAACGGAATTTTCATATTTTTAATGTATGCATCACAATACAATGCTGTAGCTCTCTTTTCGGATCTACTCACATAGTTCAATTCAATGTCCTCATTTTTTTCTTCCACAATAATTGGATCCTTCAGCTTCTTTGCTATTGGCTTTCATATTGCTTTCAATATAGCCTATCTGAACTTAGAATTCATGGCTATTAACTGTCCATTGGTGATACTGGCGGGTTGATCGAAAAATTGTTGAGGCGTGTATGGATTAACCATATTATTTATGGGCAGGATCAAAGGGTTTTTTCTTTTTACTATTTTAGATTTTGTTTTAATCAGCACATTCTTATTGTCATATCATTGATTTGTTAGCTGTTGTATTAATTCAACATCATTCTCTTTTTTTTCTATATTATTCTCATTTAATTTATTGGGAGTTTCTTGAGCAGCTCTGGCTCATGTTTTAGTTGCCGGATAAGCTTCAAACAAGGATAAATTTGAGGGAACAACTAATAGTTCTGTATCGTCACCCTCATGAGGTACACCATTTAGTATAAATGTTGATCTTGCGTATTATCTTACATTAATAGTGACAATAATTATAACAACTGCGGATTTTTAAGATTGTTGTCTCTTGCTACCGGAGTAACATTAACGGTTGGTTGTATTAGGTGGGTAGGACTTGGTACGTTACTTTCTGTAGTTTGATTGTATTGATAATTTTGGCTATTACTTAGAATGTTAAAACTATTAGGATAATTTCTCTTTATATGTTCCAGCTGCTTGCATAGGTAGCAAATAAGGTTATTCCATTGAGGAGTTGTCAAAAGCCTGTTATTTAGTTGAAAATTTAAAGATCTATGTATATCGTTATTTTTAAAGTTTCTTCTTCCAACATTCATCTGCTAGATTTGTTGAGCTAGACTAGCTATCGCTTCATTAAGGGCGTTAGTTTGTGTAGATGGAGTTGTAATACCATATTTGTTCATATATGCTGCAACGGCATTTTGGTCTTGATAGGTGAGTTCGTATGCCTTTGAACGATTAAGTGTATCATCCCAAGTCTGATCATTATGGGGTTTCACCATCAGGTGTAGTTCAGGCAATAATCCATTAACCAATCTACGAACTTTCATTGCAGTTGGATATATAAATGCTAGAATTTCAATTCTCCTATACAGTTCTTGTAAAGCACACACATAGGCGTCAACAGTTTCATTAGGTCATTGATGTTGTCGTTCAAGCTCTGTGGTCCAAATTTCAACTAAGGTTTGTGATCAAAAAGCAGTAGGGAAATTAGCAATAAAATTAGTGTTGTTATTATTCCCTGTTCATGCATTAATTCTATTTGCATTGTTAGCTACCAATGCTTGATTTATCATCTACCAGGTAGAGGCTGGTCCCTTGAGATAGGCTGGTACTACTTCTAATTTTCTGGCATTAGCAATTCCATTTGCATTACAGGCTTATGTGAACACTTCTAACCATTCAACAGGGTCTTGATTTCCTCCGTAATAGTTAGGTATATTCACCATACGAGCTTTTCTTCCAAGAGGATTTGCCAATGCATTCGCATGAGCCTGCATTTGGACTTGTAAATTTACGATGTCATTATTTGCATTTGGTGATCCAGGAGGTTGTAAAACTCCTTGCAGAGCTTGTAAAGCTGCCATTAAATTTTGAAGATCAACTGCTTTGGCAGCCATTGGATTTTCTTTTCTAAATAATTGCTAAAGTTTAGAGGTTCGGTATTGAATAATAAATTATTAAAATTCGGAACTTTTAATATTCCAGGATTATCTAATCCAAAACTATCATCAGACGATACTAGAGATGTAGTTTCACTTGCGATGTAGAGAATGGTAAATAGATCTAAAAGAAATCCTTGTATATTGATAAATGTGTTATATAAGGTTTATCAGATTATTATATACGATTCTTCCGGAATTTTATGATATCTTATACTAAATATCAATTTAAAAATAGTGATCCAGGTTTCTTCTATTCCTCTGGTATAGAAAAGTTCCTCGGATACTGTTGAGTATATCTCGAAAAGTTCTCAGCAGGATATTTCATAGAATACCAGTTCTAAAAGTTTTGAAATTGGGCTGTTAATGGGAATTCAAAAGGATAACAATATTCACAGGATTTATCTCGATGGTAAATAGTTATATTTCTTCAGCGTAGTATCTGGTAATAATTATCATGTGTATTATTTCGTTCGATATGGGCTTGAAACATACAATTAATTAATAATTTCTTTTTAATATTCTGGCAGAAGGTACCATGTGTTGCACGCAGTTCAAAATGTTTATTGGTTATAAACAATAGAAAAGGTAAGCAAAAGGTTTATTTATAAAAATGAATTAAATGTCTTTATTAATAACAAATGAAATCTAACATAAATCTACATAAATAAGGTATTGCCTCAATCTTTGGCGCTCTATACGATCAGATACGTAATTTATTAATATTTTTTCGTTATTGTTACAAATAAAAGGAAAGGGGATATATGCTAATGTTATCTATCATTTTTATCTAGAGAATATATGGAACACTTGATATTTTCTACTTAAGTGAAATCCCACCTCTTTTATACTTAAAACCCAGCAAGGACTACTTGTTCGGAAGCCTTTTTGTCCTTGAAACATAATAGCCAGATGGCATATTGGCTTGCAGACAATTTGGCCAGGAGACAATTGGGTCATCAATCTACAAAAGTCTAACTAAATACTAATAAAACTTAAATTTAAATTAAACAGAAATGGGACACAATGCCCTGGAACTAATAGAATACGATAGAACAATTATATTTCTTTGCAACAATATTTACAAATATGTATATATTATGTTATTACTAGATTAATTATTTAGCAAATATTAATATATATATCAAATAAAATATTATCTGATTTTGATTTATATTTAAATCATAAATAGCAAAATAAGCTTCATTTAATTTTTTTTAATTCTGCTAAAGATAAAAGATATTTTTTTTGATAGAGAATAAAGTTCATATTCTTTATATAAAGAAGAAGTATAAACTCTATGAGATGACAATTCCTTTTCTTATTATTTAGGAAAAATATGTTTATAAAATTTTGTTTTATATTTTAAATGATTAAAACATTCATTTAAAATAAGATTATTCCAAAGATTTGCATAAGGATGTATTTGTGATTTAACTAATAGAATTAACATTCCACACATCTTTTCCATCGGAAATTGCCAATATCCTCTACAAGGGCCAAAATCTTTAATAGATTCAGCCATATGTAATAAGTAATGA